CACGTGATTCTCTCACATCGCTCATAAATGATCATTGAACAACTTTGAACAAATAAGCAAAAACGCTTGCAGTTAAAATATTTCAAACATAATTGTTTTGAAAAAAGTTTTGCAAAACAAAATTCAAATTCATCAAATGTTTTCGTTTTTAAAATGTCTAATATTTAAGAATTCCTGTTGATAAAATAGATTGAGTTTGCTCTACATTTCTGTTAACCTCTGACACATAAGCGTTGATATTTTTTCAAACTCTATTCACTGCAGCAGAGTCTTTCATTAACCAAAAAAATTATTAATCTAATTTTCAGTGACAAACGATAATAGGACAAGAAACAATTTCCCGATTTCGAATATAAAAGGTGTCTGAATTGTGAACTCAGTATACTTTGAATCGACAATATTCATTACTCTTTAGTGTTAGACATTTTACTGCAGGAAGTGTAATCCATATCGAAATATTTGTGCCACTAGAGGTCATTATGAAAGTGTGATAACGTTCCAGAATAAATTCTCTGTTGATCTAAAACTAGCATTGTCTGTTCATCCCAAGTGGCCAGCTAGCATGCAGTTAATACCATTTAATTCCTTTTTTAATTACAATTAATTTTTTAATTGCTTCTTAATAAAATCAATTCACGGCCGTTTTCACTGAATTTACTTTTCTTATATTATCGTAGCCCTTCGCTACTCCGTTCCCCGTGACCAAGGGCAGGCGTTATGACCTTGACCTTTTCTTCATTGCATTGCAACACACCCTTCAATTTAAGTTCATTTAGATTCATAATAAGCCTAATGACTTTTCTGTTCTTTCAGTGTTACGAACCTAGTCGGGTGGGGGAGAGATTGGTTTATGCACTGAGTTACATTCCCATTAGTTTTGTCTGCTAACTGGACACTAGTTGTGCTTTCCTATTCACTCTTACTTCCAGCACTCTTGTTCTTATTTACTTCCGGTTACCCCGGACCCTTCTGGCATTCATAGCATTGGTTATTTCCGGCTACCACGGACCTCTACTTCCATGTTTTTCTTGAATAAAAGTCAAGAGAAAATAAACCAAAAGAAAATCCAATTATAGGCCAATATTGGGTCTATTTGTAAAATTCACATCTGATCAGCCGTTACTTTAGAAAGTCATGTAATTATGGAATTTTGCCATTAGTATATAAAAGTTATTAAAAGAGCAAATATATTTTTCTGCAATAAGAAAGAATTCAGAGGCAGTTTTGAAAAATGGATTTTTTTTCTAAACAGCAAAACTGTTATTCAATTTAGGCAAATATGAAATAGTCTTATTAAATTATTAATTTGCAAGTATTTTCTTGTAAATATCTTAAACCAGCAAATTTAGGTACTTTGTCAACAATATCTATTTCCAAATTTTAAGAGATGGATTTAAATCTAGTATATATCATTATTTGTAAAAACGCATACGTAAATGAGTGCTTTTTCGCTGTTATTTCACATAAAATGCTTTAAGAGAAACTGAAGTCGTAATTTCCTAAACAAAAATATTATTTGAATGGATTTTGAATTGCTATTATTATGCCATGAAAGCGTGCGCTCATATATATCTACGCACATAACATTTCCAGCTAAGTGACTGGCAAAGACTGAACTATCTTTAAGATAACAATCTTCTAGCCAGTCGAACCACTAAGGTAAGTATGTTGTCAAGTTGAATAAGCAACTAAGCATGTCGCTTTTGCTGGAATAACTTCAAGTAAAAATCTAAACATAGCTAAAATAGTAGAACTATTTTTTTTTCTCCCACGCAATTTATTTTTAGGAAAACTCCTGATTAATTGTTTTGATGACTTCTTAAAGATATTTATGCTAGGTATAATTATAATTTCAATTAATTATGATTAATAACCATTGCATTTTCGTTCTATGATGTGCGTGTTTTTGAACACATTGAAATGAATTGTCGTACGATTATATTAAGTAGAAGACCAGCTTCTCTGTTGCCTTTATTATCTTTTCTTCCTTCTCCCTTGAGAGACCAAATATCTCAGGTGCGGAAATTTACAATGAACTTTAAAAGTAAGAACGCAATATAATATTACATCGCGACTTTTGATACTTATTAAATGACAAAAATTGTTTCACAGATTTATAAATATTTATATTTTCGCTTTTACAAGAATTAGTTTCTAACAAAATGAAAATTTCAAAGTTTATTCTGGTGAATGAGAAGAAGAAAAAAAAAAAAAAAAAAAAAAATCACAAACAAAAAAGCAGTCCAATGACGAGAGTCCGAAAATTTTTAAATAGCAAGAAAACCATATTTGAACGTCAAATGTTTTACTCTGCGTTACAAGTGAAAAGATTCGATAGGATTTGTTTTGAAATAATCGAATGCTATTTGTTTTTTCAAATTTTATATTTGCTGTAAATAAAAATTCGATCTTACGGGCAGCTGCATCATTTTTTGTTTAAATCTATTAGTATTAGCTGTTATTTCTTTGTGCAACAGGACAATGGCCATGTTTAAACGTTTAATTGCATGTAAATACAGAATAATAATTTGAATGGACTACTAATAGGATAATAATCATTAAAATTCTCATGAGTGTAGGTTAAATGCTTAAGAAAAACACGAAAAAAAAGCGCAGTAAAAATTATGTTTTAAACTAATAAACCATAATTTTTTAACAGTTCCAAGGAGAATTGAACCCGGAATTAACTAGCCCAAATTCATTAAAATTGAGCGAAGCCTTACCGCTGATAAAAATGATTAATGTGTTGTCCGAAATTTTTCGGTCCTGAGAAATTAAATTTGAAAGTTTATTTACATTATGTCATCTGCCCAAAATGTGGAGAATCTGTTTTTGTTTAAGTCTTGGACTTAGGATTTGTTTACATTATATTATCTGTCCAAAATGTGTGTGTTCTTAAAAATTATTTTAGACAAAGAAGAATTTTGAATTTTTGTAAATTTCCAAGCTGGGTATTTGTTTATGTTGATCGCTATTTTCTTTACAGATATATATCTAGGGAGATTCTAAAACAAGAGTCTACCATATAGTTAAATTAACAAGATTCCCGAAGTGATTTCCAATCCTAATGCATTCAAACAAAGATTGATTGCTGGAAAAACTTGACGAACTTGTAAGTTCTGGGATATGATAATAAATTTCCAGTAGTGGAGAAATTTTTATGGTATATGTTAAAGTTTTCGGTCGTGGTGGAGAAATAGATATATTAATGTAAGTTTTTTTGAAGTTGGGGGCGATCGTCTGTATAAACGACAACACCTCTAGGCCAACAGATAGTCGGAGAATTGGGCCCAAGAAGTAAGGTCGCCAGAGATTGGCTTTGGTCGCATTTCCCGTAGCAAGAGCGGGAAGGAGAACAAGGTCAGACGGAGATGGGCCCAGGAGAAGTCATTTCGGATCGGCTCTAGATTACTCGTAAGAATCGTCGCTAAAGAGCACACCCACAATTTTTGTGGTCGGGGCGAAAAGACACTCACATAATTGTAGTATTGCGGAAGATCTAATTAACGGGTTATTACTTTGAAGAATTGAAGAAGAATGGATGGATTGGTTATTACTTCAAAAAATTGAGTGAGATTCGACGGGCTGGTTATTACCTTAGCATTTGCGACTAGGTTTCCCAACTCATCATCCTGCAGTAGAGAACTTGATTTTGCAGTAGATAATAGAGACATTTTATTCTATCAGTTTTTCTTTATATTCAATAAACCACTTGTTAGAGTTATCAGCAGTGTTCAAGGAGTTCTAATACCAGCCTGATTTTGGAGAGACCGTAGGACGCAAAGGGACAAAAATTACCACGGCCACAGACAGGAATCACGCAATTTTGTCTGGGATATACAGCATACATAGAGCGGTCCACATTAGACTCTGCTCTCAATCCCAATATCGTGAGATTTGGGGAAACCAGAATCAACCCTATCGAGACAACACACTGGCCTCAACCGAAGCAGGAAAAGAAAGCTGGATGACTCTACAAAGTTAGCGAGGCTAGCGACTGAGGAACAGGAGAGATAGAGCCGAGTTAACAGAGCCGAAGAGGAGTGTAGTGTGTGAGTTGATAGAGGTAAGTGTTACAAGCAAGAGAAACTCTACAAAAATATTTTGGTATTTATGACGATAAAACATTCTTTTACGTAGTGTAGTGCTGGGTATGACGATAAACTAAATCCAGCAGCAAGGCCTCTGATCGGGAGATTGGAGGTGTTGAGGAGCGTGGAATCACATCTTAATTGCGATTATTCCCAGGCCCACCTTGACATGGGGTTGTAGCACCTGTTAGGGTCCCAGCTATGGGCAAATAGTGAATCCACCCTAAACAAAACCAAAACCCTATGAATGTATAAAAATACATTAAATACGCTAAACAAATCAACCAGCCAAATAAACAGCGTGAACGAACTCTTCCTTAAATCAAAATGTATTCCAAAATATTACTTCAACAAATCTAAAACATAAAAGACGCATCACCGCCTCTAGGAATTATGTTCACAGAAATATCTATATGGACAAAAGCTGAGTATCATCTACCATGTATTTTAAAGCTCCCAAGAAAACTGAATTTCAGCATTAAATGACCCATAGGGAGTAGATATGCCGTTAAAGAAATAATTTAATCAATCAATTTATGTAGAGCAGTATAATATAGAAATTTGTACAAGGGCTGACCTCTCTTTGAAAGGTTCTGATGTCGTCTAATTAAAAAATCAATCAATATAGTTAATTTTAAGTGAGAAGGGGAAGGAAATTTGATTTTAAGTTTTTTTCTCGCTAAGATGACAAGAAAAACATTCCAATGACAACACAATTGTTAATGAAAGAAGGGGCAGCATCATTCAAACGAACAATAGGCAGCATCATTCAAAAGGAACAACGGAGAGTATAATTCAAAAGGGAAAAGGGAGAGCATCATTCAAACGAACGATGGGCAGCATCATTCAAAAGAGACAACGGACAGCATCATTCAAAAGGGAAAAGGGAGAGCATCATTCAAACGAACGATGGGCAGCATCATTCAAAAGGGACAAGGGACAGTATCATTCAAACGAACAATGGGCAGCATCATTCAAAAGAGACAACGGACAGCATCATTCAAAAGGGAAAAGGGAGAGCATCATTCAAACGAACGATGGGCAGCATCATTCAAAAGGGACAAGGGACACCATCATTCAAAAGGAACAAGGGACAGCATCATTCAAAAGGGACAAGGGACACCATCATTCAAAAGGAACAAGGGACAGCATCATTCAAACGAACGATGGGCAGCATCATTCAAAAGAGACAAGGTACAGCATCATTCAAAAGGGACAAGGGACAGCATCATTCAAATGAACGACGGGCAGCATCATTCAAAAGGGACAGTATCATTCAAAAGGGACAAGGGACAGTATCATTCAAACGAACAATGGGCAGCATCATTCAAAAGGGACAAGGGACAGCATCATTCAAAAGGGACAAGGGACAGTATCATTCAAAAGGGACAAGGGACAGAATCATTCAAACGAACGATGGGCAGCATCATTCAAAAGGGACAAGGGACACCATCATTCAAAAGGAACAAGGGACACCATCATTCAAAAGGAACAAGGGACAGCATCATTCAAACGAACGATGGGCAGCATCATTCAAAAGAGACAAGGTACAGCATCATTCAAAAGGGACAAGGGACAGCCTCATTCAAACGAATGACGGGCAGCATCATTCAAAAGGGACAGCATCATTCAAAAGGGACAAGGGACAGTATCATTCAAACGAACAATGGGCAGCATCATTCAAAAGGGACAAGGGACAGTAGCATTCAAAAGGGACAAGGGACAGCATCATTCAAACGAACGATGGTCAGAATCATTCCAACGAACGATGGGCAGCATCATTCAAAAGGGACAAGGGACAGCATCATTCAAACAAATGACGGGCAGCATCATTCAAAAGGGACAAGGACAGTATCATTCAAACGAACAATGGGCAGCATCATTCAAAAGGGACAAGGGACAGTAGCATTCAAAAGGGACAAGGACAGCATCATTCAAACGAACGATGGTCAGAATCATTCCAACGAACGATGGGCAGCATCATTCAAAAGGGACAAGGGACAGCATCATTCAAACGAACGATGGTCAGCATCATTCGAAAGAACGATGGGCAGCATCATTCAAAAGGGACAAGTTACAGCATCATTCAAAAGGGACAAGGGACAGCATCATTCAAACAAACGATGGGCAGCATCATTCAAAAGGGACAAGGGATAGCATCATTCAAACAAACGATGGTCAGCATCATTCAAAAGGGACATGGGACAGAACCATTCAAACGAACGATGGGCAGCATCATTCAAAAGAGACAAGGGACAGCATCATTCAAAAGGGACAAGGGACTGCATCATTCAAACGAACGATGGGCAGCATCATTCAAAAGGGACAAGGGACAGCATCATTCAAACGAACGATGGTCAGTATCATTCGAAAGAACGATGGGCAGCAACATTCAAAAGAGACAAGGTACAGCATCATTCAAAAGGGACAAGGGACAGCATCATTCAAACGAACGATGGTCAGAATCATTCAAACGAACGATAGTCAGCATGATTCGTACGAACGATGGGCAGCATCATTCAAAAGGGACAAGGTACAGAATCATTCAAAAGGGACAAGTGACAGCATCATTCAAACAAACGATGGGCAGCATCATTCAAAAGGTACAAGGGACAGCATCATTCAAACGAACGATGGTCAGCATCATTCAAAAGAGACAAGGGAGAGTATCATTCAAAAAGGGACAAGGGACATTATCATTCAAACGAACCATGGGCAGCATCATTTAAAAGGGACAAGGGACAGCATCATTCAAACAACGATGGGCAGTATCATTCAAAAGGGACCAGGGACAGCATCATTCAAAAGGGACAAGGGACAGAATCATTCAAAAGGTAACAGGGACAGCACTATTCATACGAACGATGGACAGCATCATTCAAACGAACGATGGTCAGCATCATTCAAAAGTGACAAGGCACAGCATCATTCAAAAAAACGATGGGCAGCATCATTCAAAAGGGACAAGAGACAGCAACATTCAAAAGAGACAAGGGACAGCATCATTCAAAAGGGACAAGGGACTGCATCATTCCAACGAACAATGGGCAGCATCATTCAAGAACTGACAAGGTACAGCATCATTCAAATGGGACAAGGGACTGCATCATTCCAACGAACAATGGGACGCATGATTCAAAATGGACACAGGACAGCATCATTCAAACGAACAATGGGCAGCATCATTCAAAAGGGACAAGTGACAGCATCATTCAAAAGGGACAAGGGACAGCATCATTCAAACGAACGATGGTCAGCATCATTCAAAAGAAACAAGGGAGAGTATCATTCAAAATGGACAAGGGACAGCATCATTCAAACGAACGATGGTCAGAATCATTCAAATGAACGATGGGCAGCATCATTCAAAAGAGACAACGGACAGCATCATTCAAAAGGGAAAAGGGACAGCAACATTCAAACGAACGACGGGCAGCATCATTCAAAAGGGACAGCATCATTCAAAAGGGACAAGGGACAGTATCATTCAAACGAACAATGGGCAGCATCATTCAAAAGGGGCAAGGGACATTAGCATTCAAAAGGGACAAGGGACAGCATCATTTAAACGAACGATGGTCAGAATCATTCAAACGAACGATGGGCAGCATCATTCAAAAGGGACAAGGGACAGCATCATTCAAACGAACGATGGTCAGCATCATTCGAAAGAACGATGGGCAGCATCATTCAAAAGGGACAAGTTACAGCATCATTCAAAAGGCACAAGGGACAGAATCATTCAAACAAACGATGGGCAGCATCATTCAAAAGGGACAAGGGACAGCATCATTCAAACGAACGATGGTCAGTATCATTCGAAAGAACGATGGGCAGCATCATTCAAAAGGGACAAGTTACAGCATCATTCAAAAGGGACAAGGGACAGTAACATTCAAAAGGGAAAAGGGACAGCATCATTCAAAAGGGAAAAGGGACAGCATCATTCAAACGAACGATGGGCAGCATCATTCAAAAGGGACAAGGCAGAGCATCATTCAAAAGGGACAAGGGACAGTATCATTCAAACGAACGATGGGAAGCATCATTCAAAAGGTACAAGGTACAGCATCATTCAAAAGGGACAAGGGACAGCATCATTCAAACGAACGATGGGCAGCATCATTCAAAAGGGAAAAGGGACAGCATCATTCAAAAGGGACAAGGGACAGTATCATTCAAAAGGGACAAGGGACAGCATCATTCAAATGAACGATGGGCAGCATCATTCAAAAGAGACAAGGGACAGCATCAGTCAAACGAACGATGGGCAGCATCATTCAAACGAACGATGGGCAGCAACATTCAAAAGTGACAAGGTACAGCATCATTCAAAAGGGACAAGGGACAGCATCATTCAAACGAACGATGGTCAGAATCATTCAAACGAATGATAGTCAGCATGATTCGTACGAACGATGGGCAGCATCGTTCAAAAGGGACAAGGTACAGAATCATTCAAAAGGGACAAGGGACAGCATCATTCAAACAAACGATGGGCAGCATCATTCAAAAGGGACAAGGGACAGCATCATTCCAACGAACGATTGTCAGCATCATTCAAAAGAGACAAGGGAGAGTATCATTCAAAAGGGACAAGGGACATTATCATTCAAACGAACCATGGGCAGCATCATTCACAAGGGACAAGGGACAGCATCATTCAAACAACGATGGGCAGTATCATTCAAAAGGGACCAGGGACAGCATCATTCAAAAGGGACAAGGGACAGAATCATTCAAAAGGTAACAGGGACAGCACTATTCATACGAACGATGGACAGCATCATTCAAACGAACGATGGTCAGCATCATTCAAAAGAGACAAGGGAGAGTATCATTCAAAATGGACAAGGGACAGTATCATTCAAAAGGGACAAGGGACAGCATCATTCAAATGAACGATGGGCAGCATCATTCAAAAGAGACAAGGGACAGCATCAGTCAAACGAACGATGGGCAGCATCATTCAAACGAACGATGGGCAGCAACATTCAAAAGTGACAAGGTACAGCATCATTCAAAAGGGACAAGGGACAGCATCATTCAAACGAACGATGGTCAGAATCATTCAAACGAATGATAGTCAGCATGATTCGTACGAACGATGGGCAGCATCGTTCAAAAGGGACAAGGTACAGAATCATTCAAAAGGGACAAGGGACAGCATCATTCAAACAAACGATGGGCAGCATCATTCAAAAGGGACAAGGGACAGCATCATTCCAACGAACGATTGTCAGCATCATTCAAAAGAGACAAGGGAGAGTATCATTCAAAAGGGACAAGGGACATTATCATTCAAACGAACCATGGGCAGCATCATTCACAAGGGACAAGGGACAGCATCATTCAAACAACGATGGGCAGTATCATTCAAAAGGGACCAGGGACAGCATCATTCAAAAGGGACAAGGGACAGAATCATTCAAAAGGTAACAGGGACAGCACTATTCATACGAACGATGGACAGCATCATTCAAACGAACGATGGTCAGCATCATTCGAACGAACGATGGGCAGCATCATTCAAAAGTGACAAGGCACAGCATCATTCAAAAAAACAATGGGCAGCATCATTCAAAAGGGACAAGTGACAGCAACATTCAAAAGAGACAAGGGACAGCATCATTCAAAAGGGACAAGGGACTGCATCATTCCAACGAACAAGGGCAGCATCATTCAAGAATCGACAAGGTACAGCATCATTCAAATGGGACAAGGGACTGCATCGTTCCAACGAACAATGGGACGCATGATTCAAAATGGACACGGGACAGCATCATTCAAACGAACAATGGGCAGCATCATTCAAAAGGGACAAGTGACAGCATCATTCAAAAGGGACAAGGGACAGCATCATTCAAACGAACGATGGTCATCATCATTCAAAAGAGACAAGGGAGAGTATCATTCAAAATGGATAAGGGACATTATCATTCAAACGAACCATGGGCAGCATCATTCAAAAGGGACAAGGGACAGCAACATTCAAAAAAGGACAAAGGACAGCATCATTCAAACGAACGATGGGCAGTATCATTCAAAAGGCATCTATTATACATACAGCATCATTCAAAAGGTACCAGGGAAAGCATAATTCATAATGAACGATGGACAGCATCATTCAAACGAACGATGGTCAGCATCATTCAAAAGGGACAAGGGACAGCATCATTCAAAAGGGACAAGGGACAGCATCATTCCAACGAACAATGGGCAGCATCATTCAAGGACGGACAAGGTACAGCATCATTCAAAAGAGAAAAGGGACAGCATGATTCGTACGAACGATGGGCAGCATCATTCAAAAGGGACAAGGTACAGAATCATTCAAAAGGGACAAGGGACAGCATCATTCAAACAAACGATGGGCAGCATCATTCAAAAGGGACAAGGGACAGCATCATTCAAACGAACGATTGTCAGCATCATTCAAAAGAGACAAGGAGAGTATCATTCAAAAGGGACAAGGGACATTATCATTCAAACGAACCATGGGCAGCATCATTCACAAGGGACAAGGGACAGCATCATTCAAACAACGATGGGCAGTATCATTCAAAAGGGACCAGGGACAGCATCATTCAAAAGGGACAAGGGACAGAATCATTCAAAAGGTAACAGGGACAGCACTATTCATACGAACGATGGACAGCATCATTCAAACGAACGATGGTCAGCATCATTCAAAAGAGACAAGGGAGAGTATCATTCAAAATGGACAAGGGACAGTATCATTCAAAAGGGACAAGGGACAGCATCATTCAAATGAACGATGGGCAGCATCATTCAAAAGAGACAAGGGACAGCATCAGTCAAACGAACGATGGGCAGCATCATTCAAACGAACGATGGGCAGCAACATTCAAAAGAGACAAGGTACAGCATCATTCAAAAGGGACAAGGGACAGCATCATTCAAACGAACGATGGTCAGAATCATTCAAACGAATGATAGTCAGCATGATTCGTACGAACGATGGGCATATCGTTCAAAAGGACACAAATGTACAGAATCATTCAAAAGGGACAAGGGACAGCATCATTCAAACAAACGATGGGCAGCATCATTCAAAAGGGACAAGGGACAGCATCATTCAAACGAACGATTGTCAGCATCATTCAAAAGAGACAAGGGAGAGTATCATTCAAAAGGGACAAGGGACATTATCATTCAAACGAACCATGGGCAGCATCATTCAAAAGGGACAAGTGACAGCAACATTCAAAAGGGACAAGGGACAGCATCATTCAAACGAACGATGGGCAGTATCATTCAAAATGGACCAGGGACAGCATCATTCAAAAGGGACAAGGGACAGCATCATTCAAAAGGTACCAGGGAAAGCACTATTCATACGAACGATGGACAGCATCATTCAAACGAACGATGGTCAGCATCATTCAAAAGGGACAAGGGACAGCATCATTCAAAAGGGACAAGGGAGTGCATCATTCAAATGAACAATGGGCAGCATCATTCAAAAGGGACAATGGACAGCATCATTCAAAAGGGAAAAGGGACAGCATCATTCCAACGAACAATGCGCAGCATCATTCAAGGACGGACAAGGTACAGCATCATTCAAAAGGGAAAAGGGACAGCATCATTCAAACGAACGATGGGCAGCATCATTCAAAAAGGACAAGAGGCAGCGTCATTCAAACGAACAATGGGCAGCATCATTCAAAAGGGACAAGGGACAGCGTCATTCAAAAGGGACAAGGGACAGTATCATTCAAACGAACAATGGGCAGCATCATTCAAAAGGGAAAAGGGACAGCATCATTCAAACGAACGATGGGCAGCATCATTCAAAAGGGACAAGGGACAGCGTCATTCAAACGAACAATGGGCAGCATCATTCAAAATGGACAATGGGCACCATCATTCAAAAGGGACAAGGGACAGCATCATTCAAACGAACAATGGGCAGCATCATTCAAAAAAGACAAGAAGCAGCATCATTCAAAAGGGATAAGGGAAAGCATCATTAAAAAGGTACAAGGGACAGCATCATTCAAAAGGTACAAGGCACTGCATCCTTCAAAAGGGACATGGGACTGCATCATTCAAACGAACAATGGGCAGCATCATTCAAAAGGGACAAGTGTCTGCATCATTCAAATGAACAATGGGCAGCATCATTCAAAAGGGACAAGGGGCAGCATCATTCAAAAGGGACAAGCGACAGCATCATTCAAAAGCGACAAGAGACAGCATCATTCAAACGAACAATGGGCAGCATCATTCAAAAGGGATAAGGGGCAGCATCATTCAAACGAACAATGGGCAGTATCATTCAAAAGGGACAAGGGACAGCAACATTCAAACGAACGATGTACAGCATCATTCAAAAGGGAGAAGTGACTGCATCATTCAAATGAACAATGCGCAGCATCATTCAAAAGGGACAAAGGGACAGCAACATTCAAACGAACGATGGGCAGCATCATTCAAAATGGACAAGGGACAGCATCATTCCAAAGAACAATGGGCAGCATCATTCAAAAAAGACAAGAAGCAGCATCATTCAAAAGGGATAAGGGAAAGCATCATTAAAAAGGTACAAGGGACAGCATCATTCAAAAGGTACAAGGCACTGCATCCTTCAAAAGGGACATGGGACTGCATCATTCAAACGAACAATGGGCAGAATCATTCAAAAGGGACAAGGGACAGCATCATTCAAAAGGGACTAGTGACAGCATCATTCAAAAGCGACAAGAGAGAGCATCATTAAAAAGGGACAAGGGACAGCAACATTCAAACGATCGATGTACAGCACCATTCAAAAGGGACAGCATTATTCAAAAGGGAAAAGTGTGAGCATCATTCAAAAGCGACAAGGGACAGATCATTCAAAAGGGACAACGGACAGCATCATTCAAACGAACAATGTGCAGCATCATTCAAAATGGACAAGGGACAGCATCATTCAAAAGGGACAAGCGACAGCATCATTCAAAAGAGACTAGAGACAGCATCATTCAAAAGGGACAAGAGACAGCATCATTCAAACGAACAATGGGCAGCATCATTCAAAAGGGACAAGGGACAGCAACATTCAAACGAACAATGGGCAGTATCATTCAAAAGGGACAAGGGACAGCAACATTCAAACGAACGATGTACAGCATCATTCAAAAGGGAGAAGTGACTGCATCATTCAAATGAACAATGCGCAGCATCATTCAAAAGGGACAAAGGGACAGCAACATTCAAACGAACGATGGGCAGCATCATTCAAAATGGACAAGGGACAGCATCATTCCAAAGAACAATGGGCAGCATGATTCAGAAGGGACAAGGGACAGCATCATTCAAAAGGGACAAGAGACAGCATCATTCCAAAGAACGATGGGCAGCATCATTCAAAAAAGACAAGAAGCAGCATCATTCAAAAGGGATAAGGGAAAGCATCATTAAAAAGGTACAAGGGACAGCATCATTCAAAAGGTACAAGGCACTGCATCCTTCAAAAGGGACATGGGACTGCATCATTCAAACGAACAATGGGCAGCATCATTCAAAAGGGACAAGTGACAGCATCATTCAAAAGGGACAAGGGTCAGCATCATTCAAACGAACGATGGTCATCATCATTCAAAAGAGACAAGGGAGAGTATCATTCAAAATGGACAAGGGACATTATCATTCAAACGAACCATGGGCAGCATCATTCAAAAGGGACAAGGGACAGCAACATTCAAAAGGGACAAGGGACAGCATCATTCAAACGAACGATGGGCAGTATCATTCAAAAGGCACAAGGGACAGCATCATTCAAAAGGTACCAGGGAAAGCACCATTCATACGAACGATGGACAGCATCATTCAAACGAACGATGGTCAGCATCATTCAAAAGGGACAAGGGACAGCATCATTCAAAAGGGACAAGGGACAGCATCATTCCAACGAACAATGGGCAGCATCATTCAAGGACGGACAAGGTACAGCATCATTCAAAAGGGAAAAGGGACAGCATCATTCAAACGAACGATGGGCAGCATCATTCAAAAGGGACAAGGGACAGCGTCATTCAAACGAACAATGGGCAGCATCATTCAAAAGGGACAAGGGACAACATCATTCAAAAAGGACAAGTGACTGCATCATTCAAACGAACAGTGGTCAGCATCATTCAAAAGGGACAAGGGACAGCATCATTCAAACGAACAATGGGCAGCATCATTCAAAAGGGACAAGGGACACTATCATTCGAATGAACAAGGGGCACTATCATTCTGTTTCTGTTATTGAACATTTGAAATAAAACAATTCGATTAACGAGGCTGAATCGATAAGTTCGTAACCTGAGACGGCAACTGACTTACTGATCCATCCTCGGATTTTGATCTGAATCTTTCACTTTATAATACTTAATCTACATGATTAATATTCATCACTGAGTTCATTGCTGAGAAAAGTATTTATAACAAATATTTGTTGCATGAAATAAATGATTCATTTAATCACTGGGTCATAGATTTATTGATGTGCCTATGTAAATGCACGTGTTTGCGTTAGTTATGAAAAAACTTATTACAAATTTGCAATACTAAATAAAAAATTTTATGATTTGGGGTAAATTAGCAAGCAAGCGCACTTAATTAGACATTATTGTTTTAATAGGAATAAAGTTAGAAAATTTGCTTTATATTCAAAACGAATTAAGCAAAATATTCTTTTCGCTTTTGCTAAAACTTAAAACAAACAGACAAGCAAGAGTATAATAGTCACACTGATATCGCAACGTGTGTGTGATCGTTGCCAATATGAACACTTTAGCCCACAGTTAAAACAAAGATCAAACAACCAAGTCAAATTTTGTTAATAGTAAATTAAGAAAAGTAAACTTTTTATCGTTTCGTTCCTAATCGATTTAAATACAGATTAATTGCTGGAAAAACTTGAATGTGATAACAAATTTCCAGTAGTTTAGAAGTTTTCAATCACTGGTACAAGTTAAGGTTTTCGGTCTCTTGTATAGATTCTAATTACATATACCCGAGATTGTTCTCATGAATATTTATTATTATGTGATTATTAATTTATTTTAAAACAATTTAAAGCATAAAAAAATTAAAAAATCTGCAACATTGATTTACAACTGGGTCCACTGGTTAACGGTATGGTAAAATTGCAGATTAGGACCCAGAAACTAACTGAAAAAAGCATCATTCCTAGTGTAAAAATGTTTGATTATTCCAAAAATAGCTTTAAAAATTTGCCGAAGCTTACCGTTTAAAATAAAAACATTAACACATTATACAAATTCAACAAATTTTATTTATTTATAGATTATATCGTCGGAGTTACCTCCTCCTAGGCTCCTTAAACCGGAAGAGAACAGGTCATTTCGACCTTGACCATTCGGTTGTGCTCCCTACACGCTGTTAACCCGAGGTAGAGACTTTACCTTTTCAGTTTAGTTATATTACAAACCTAGTTGTAATATACTTCTAGGCATTTTTAAGCTTTAGTTTCCTTTTAGCCAATCTCGACTTATTTTTTTAATACTTTACTGTATTCTTTCACCAATTCTCTTGCTAGTCTCCCTTACTACAAGACAGTGACTTCTCGCTAAATTTACTGTCGGCGACTGAAACGGTCGGTAACGCAGGCTCCTGGCCTCCGTTGGCCAGGACGTCGATCACCGGGCTGCGTAATAAGTTACGCTCCCATATTTTTTGTCTGCCAACTTGACGATAGTTGGAAACTTTCCTTCTCTCTTCTCCTGGCTTCTTGGCCCTGTTCGACGCTCGGCATTCCGTCCCTACTGGCTGCCTGCACGTCGTCCATAACCTTTCCCGTACACTACGTTAGTAATTATTACGGGAGTTTACTAATATCGGACTCGACCGGCAGACACGCAACGCCTGCACTGGACCTTTGACATGCCCGAACAACATCGCAACGCCAGCTCCTCTTTCCTTCCCAACACGTCAAGTTGGCATCCCGGCAACGACCAACATCAAACTAAAACTAAAACGACCAGCAGCGATCATCTGCCACGACCGACATCAACTTCAACTACAGCGTTCATCTACAACGACCAGCAGTGACCACCTGCATGACCAGCAGCGATCACCTGTAACGGCACCTGCAACGACCAACAGCGATCATCTGCAATGACCAGCAGCGACCACCTGCAATGACCAGCAGCGATCACCTGTAACGGCACCTGTAACGACCAACAGCGATCATCTGCCTCGGCCAGCAGCGATCACCTGTAACGATCACCTGTAACAACCAACCTCGACCATCAATGCCTGCACCGGAACATCTGCATCTCTACCGTTCTGACCACCTTTATTTCTTTTCTAGAATAAATTAGCATATAGCATATACATCCTCGTTCTGTCATCTATGTTGTTTCACCTTGTCAGAAAATGTTAGCGGGCCTCTCGTGACCTCATCACCCTTTTGTGATACGGGGGCGCTCGGGGGGTCCGGTACAATATATAAGGTTAACAAAGGGCTTTGTATGTGAAACATTTCTTAACCGTATTTCATTGTTTTAACTCTGAGACTATAGAAAGTTGAACATACCGATTAAAAAAAATCTAATAATTGACAGTTGATAAAAAACGAAAAACAATTTAAACTCAGTAGTAATTAAATAAAATTTTGCGTAAATATTTCTTGTCTAATATTTGTTGTGCCAAATCTTTTGAGAAAGTTTTTTGTGAAATATGGCATCAAAAAGAGAAACTATATTATTGTGTTCTCAAAAAATAATAAATAGTAAAATAGATGATTTGGATCTTGCATAGAATCGAATGCGCAGAAAAAAATAAAATATTTTCTATTAAAAGTTTCATACTTACATTATAAACAAATAAAGTTTACTTATTTTTGTGGTGGATATTGCCTTACAGATTTTCTGAGGTCTTGTTTAGTGTTTTCCTTTGTATGAATACACCTGGGAAATTAAAACAACAATGATTTAAAACAACAATGATTTAAAACAATTCCTCATCTTTTTTGCATGAAATGGCCACCACATTAACATCTCGAATTTACATGATGGCTGCATAAATATAATTATTTATACTATGAAATAAATTTCACGTTTTTATTCTAATTATAAAGATTTGTCTGTTTATTGCTATATTGGTGGTACTGTCAATAAAATATATTTAATAGTAGTTTATATTTTTACTGTACAAAGACAAACAAGATATAAATAATAAATAATAATAATAATAATATTTAGTTCAACTTTAATGTGATATTTGATCTGTATCTTATTTAAAAGATTTATATAAAATTTATATAAAAGAGGTTCAATTGTGATAGTACAATTGAACCTCTTTTATATAAATTTTATATTCGTCGGATTTACTTGCCCATTTCGCTCGGTATTCGCCCAAAAGTTGGATAAAATCGATTCTTGCTGTGAGATGTTATTTTTGTCCTGACAAAAAATTCTAATTTAGTTTTAACATATAGAAAATTGAAATTTTATGCCAAATATTTGCTTGTCATCGAAAAGAAATTAGCGACATTTTGTTAAATTCTTGACTAGTATGTTTTTTAACCTCTTCATTTTTACTTTGAAATTCGTTAAATTCCGTTAAAACTTGCTTTTGTGTAAAAAAAATGTTTAAAGTTTATTTTTGGGGTGTAGTAAAATTTTAAAACAATACAAATATTTTTGATGCAAGAAAAAATATAAGGCAAAAGGAGATGGTCGCCAGCGATTAATACATTGAATTAAAGTTAGATTCTCAACACTTTAAAAACTAAATTAAAATTTTAATCCAGGACAAGAAATACAATTAGGACCAACAATCAATTTTATCCAAAATTTGGGCAAATATCGAGCGAAATGGGCGAGAAAATCCAAAGGTCGCTATAATTGAAAGAAAGATCTACAAAGAAAATTTAAAATTTCACATTGTATTAAAAAAATATATATATAATTTTAAATCTGAAACAAAGATTAATAAAAAAAATTGACAGCAATTGATTTTCATTTTTTTCTTAAAACACGTTTTAAATTTCTTTAAAATAGAGTTAACAAAAAGAAAAGAAAAATATACTTACATTTGTTGATGTCAAATTTCCTTTTTTTGTTTTTCAGTTTTTAGTCTGAAAGGAGTTGACTCTACGAGAATGAAAATGTAACTAACTGTTTCATTAATAACCAAGATTTTTTAAAGTAGTCTTTGATTTTATGGCATTCTATCTCCGCATCCACTCTTTATATTTTTTTTAACTTTCTTTTCATAGATATGAAAAATCAAAATGAAAGAATTGATGCCAATTTCTTGGATTTCTCACATAGGTGTGAAAAAACTTTGGATTTAAGTAGGTATCAGCAGACAAATATAGACATTTTAAAACTAAAATTAAAAACTATTATATTTATTTTTAACATTTTAGGTGTATTTGCTAAATAAAAACAAAAAATTATGTTTCTTTTCCTTATCGCTGCCTTTGTTACAGCAAAAATAATATACTCCATCGTATGTGCCTCCCCTCCCAGGGTGGGCCGCACGGGGCCACCGCCCCACCGTCTTTGCACGGTACTGTGTCTTATTTTGGTGGCTTTCAGGACATATTCACAAATGAATGAAAGTATTTCTGACTTTTTTTAGAAAATCTTGTTACAAAAATATTTTTTTACATCTCGATAGAGTTTCCTCAAAATTTAATCAGGATTTTTTACAACAGGGATTTTTTTTTTTTAATTATTCAGTAAAATTTCGTGCAGTAATCGAGGAGGCCAGTGTGCAATAATCTAGTTCTGCAAGTACGCCCATGCTGTACCTGGTACCCAACTAAGTTTGTGGTAGATTTCCACCAATTTTTAATGCTATTTTTTGTAATAATCAGGCTTTTTTTTTTACTCCGGAAATGATGCTTTTTTTATTTAAATTGGGTGTTATCTGCAAGGTCAGTAATGGCGGCTGTGCTGTAACCGAGACACAAATAAGACCCAACGAAGATTGTCAATATCTCCTAAATGGTAAGTTTCCTGAAATTTTTAATGGTATTTTTGTAATAATCAAGCTTTTTTACACCAGGAATGATGCTTTTTATTTAAATTGGTAACTGGGTTCTAATTTGCAATTTTACTCACGGTGTCCAATGCTTAGTTATTTTCATGAGAGTATGAAATGAGAAAAAATGCAGACGACTCTCTAATAACTATTTATTAATAACTCTGTAATAGGGGCCGCGCACCTAAACTTCAAAAATAAAGCAGACACTCCAAAATGCAGCTATTAATAACTCGGTAGAAAGGATCGCATTTCTCAACCGTATTTATTCTTAATTATTTTTAAATCGAATTATATGACAGAATTATGGAAGCTTTACTGAGAGATTTCAAAGTGTTTAAACGAATAACACTTGTGATGAAAAACTTAAAGAATTATTCTTATTCAAGAATTTTGAATGTTTCTATTTGTTATTTTGGAGTTGATAAATTTCACAGAAATGACAGACAAACTCTTTTAACTGCAACCATTTCAGAAATGGATTTTTTTACAGCGTTTCCTCTGAAGCTAATGGTTTGTGTTTCTAAAATCATCTTTACTTATCTTAGTAAAGTGAATATATATATATATATATATATATATATATATATATATAAGTATATATATATATATATATATATATACATTAAATATTTTAAGCGGAATTTTGGACTTGTTCGACGATCTATTTCGTCTCAACTCCAAAGAAAAAAGTAAATCTCAGAACGAAGAAGAAATTTTTGGCTGCTATACAAAGATGTCTTTCAAGATTAATCCAGTTTTATATTTCATAAAAATTCTTTAGGAAAAAATATTTTCCATGAATAGCATGCAGTCTATACGAAATACCAGAATAGAAACAATAAAGGACTTCATACTTTTACCACAATTTAGATTTGAAAATAAGTTACTCAGATAATTAGTCATTTAATATTACATATTTCTTTAGAGGATAAACATACACGAATATAATTTAGCAAATTCTGAGCATAAGCTCTTTTTAGTTACAATAATACTGTAGAAAACTCAATAATAGTTGATATTCTCTCCCCCCCCCTCACTTTCTCTCTCTTGCTCGCTCTTTCTCTTGTTTTTTTTTTTTTTTAATTTTTTTTAATATTTCATTTGAATTCAAAATTTATTAGTAGGGTTAAGGTGGTGCTATATCTTTCTAAGAGCGATAATGTTAAGTATAAAAATTAATTCGTATACTTCTAAAATCTTCTAAACTCAGTTATTAATGGAATTTTCCAGCTTTTAAGTAATATTTATTTTTATTAGAGTTAACAAATATAAAAAATAAAAATAATATTTCTGCCACATATGGTCTGGTGGTCCTGACATGGCATCTCGGCTTCAGTCATCCCATAGCCGTAATATAGCCTTTTCTAAAAATACTTTTATGGTAATTTCTCTTGTTGACTTTTCCTCTTTCGTATCTAGACTTTAGGAATTTAAGTGCAATCCTAGATTGGCGGCAAGGTTCTAGCTTGTGGAACTCTCTTTTGGATTTTTGCTGCTCAGTCAACTTTGATCTTCAAAAATTAAATGCAGTGTCAGTTGCTATCTTCTGTCTTCTTTATTCTCGTTCTTTTATTGCTCTCTCTCTCTTTCTCTCTCTCTCTCTCTCTTTCTCTCTCTCTCTCTTTCTCTCTCTCTCTTTAAAAAAAAATTAAAACGATATTTATCCAGAATTTATTAACCTGAATTATCAATCGAGTCGCCTGATACAAAGTGAATGACTGCTAAAAATTGTGATAACCGAAAGGCCAACATCGAACGTTTCAGCTACAAAAGATACTGAAAAACAGTAAATTAAGTATCGTTATTTAAGTGTAAAATCTTTGTTATATTTCACAAGCTGGTCTCGCAAAATATTTGCGGTGGAGAAAATTTGATTTTCACTGGAAGCTAAACTACTGTGACAAATTAAACTTAGTGAATAACTGTCAGAGGAGTCATTCACAGTTCAAAACTTCAAGAACTTATGTGTCCAAAAATAAGTTCCAGAGATATACGAGCCACTCGCTATCTGGTGACAAGGAATTTAGAAACCGATTTTATATAAAGATTGAGGTTTGGAGAAATGTACATTATATGAATGCTTGTTGGCAAATAGCGGACTCTCGAAAAATTGGGTGGTAAAGGCTGTAAAGAATTCCAAATAAAGAATTCCAAATCGTTAATGGAAACATTCTTTCCGAAACAAATTTGATACAAACACTCATTTTTTCTTTAAATTCTTTATTCTCATAAGTTACTAAGAATGTATGAGTTGTGATTAACGGCTTGGAATGAGAAATCGGAGAGCCGAGTTCAAATTTCAGTCGAGTTCGTTATTTTTAGGAAAGATCTCTTCTCATCTCTTAAATAATAGTACTTGTTATTCACCCCCACCGCCCAAAAAATTGTTCAGGTAAAGAAAAAGAATTATTCTTACAATCCAAAATATGTTTCGGCTTTAAATAACCCAAAAAGGGTTGATAAGACGTAAAAAACAGATCAATCAACCTCGTAATTTACTAATGGTTTTCTATCTGTAGAAACCATTTTTAATAACGAATTTGTTAGGCGGCAGAAACTCTGGTTTACTTCCGCTGGACATTCACTCTAAATACAAGCGTTGGCGTAAATTAGGATTTTAATAACGAAAGTTTTTCAGTTTCAAATTTTCTATAAAATATCAAAGTGAGAGATTCTTTAAATCATCAAAATTTTCTTTCTTTTACCAACAATTTTGTCAATGTTTCATAACTTATTAATCTCAATTTCATTTTTTTTGCTAAAAAAAAACAGTATAATTTATTTACAATAAATAGCATTTCGCCAAACTTAATGAAATTTATATTCGTTCACAATTTTAAGGTTGAATACCTAAAGTTGAAGTGTAGGTGGTTTACAGTGAATCAAGGTTTTCTCACATTTATTATTAAGTTAAATGAATCTACCATTCTTTTTGTTGAAATGATCAAAAATTGTCTTTGGCACAATAATCATGGTAGTTATCTTGAAAGAAAAAACTGTTAAATATACAAATTACCATTTTGAATGTGAATATCTAATTTTGATCATGTACATTGTTGTTTTTGATTTTGTTAACTGCACAGTATAGTAGGGTCAGTTGGGCACCGTCTGTGAGAAAAGGAGTATCATGACGTGATTTACTCCGCCAGAGATTTGGAAAACGCATGCTGTACTGCTTGGCATTCACGCCGAAAGCTCCAATACGAACATTTCAGAGTGTTTGGGTATCAATCTGATGATTCAGTGCAGAGGATTCAAGAAGACTTGGATGCGTCTAATGTTAATTATGAAGGTACGGCTGCTCAGAAAACTCACTCTGATTGTTCTGATAAGAAAAAACATTCCGATTTTGTTGGTAAGAGCCTTAGACTCAACACGGAGGCCTACATCAAGCGCCTTTAGGAGGTAGTGCTGCCCTGGGTCAAGAGGGTGGCTGATAAAAGGCCCTATGTCTGGCAACAGGACTCTGTGCCATGCCAAACAAGCAGGAGAATCCAGTCATGGATGTCAGACAATTTCTGCGACCACATCACCCAGCTAACTCCCCAGACTACATCCCGCTTGATTATGTAGGGCACAGTCGAGTGAAAAACCAATAAAACTCCTTGTAACACCAAAGATAAACTGAAGGCAAGGATTATGACAGCATTCACCACCTTAAGCAAGGAGACCGTCTAAAAGAGTTGCAGGAGATTCCGAAGTCGTCTGGAGGCCTTGGTTAAAGCCAATAGCGATTTTATTGAATATATTTACACTTTAGTATTTCAAGATATTTTTGTGTAATTTTGGTAAATATATCTGTCACAATGAGATGTCATTGTAATTCATTTTTTGCGTAATTTAGACGACAATTTATCCATCGCATCCTTTATATCGTTCCACAGAGTTGTGCATGTTTGGCGAGGATCCCTATATCGAAACATTTCAAACCTCATCAGGAGTACGACAATCTATTTAATCTCTTGATAGACTTTGCTTTTCGCATACACAAGTTCAGATATGAAAAGATGGGCACTTGTCATTTAAGCATTCTATACCACATCCCAAACGAATCTACTAATAGAAAACAGCAATATGAGATCAGTGTACTGATGATGGTATAAAGGGGGCTATGCTGATGTCAGATCGAGGTTTTCATCTCGTTCAAAAATATTTAGGCTTTCAGCTATTTTCTCAGATCAATGGTTAAAAATGACTTCAAATGAATGAAGCTTGTAGGTTTTAGCGAGGAGCTTACTTCTTCGAACCTCGTGAACTGGCGCTACAGAATCATAAAGAACTGCACCAAATACCAGAAACTGCATCATTCAATGACTTTTAAAAGTAGCAACAACTAAAATAGATATCACATGGGACTGAAAGAGAGAATAATGGCATTGTAATGGTGGCAAAAAACAAAACAAAAAACAAGAAATAGAGATGAGAGGTCGTTGAAATAAGTGAAAGAGTTTTTATTTCCCTTGATTTACAAGGTTCGATCGCTTGCTCATTCCGGGGGTATCGTATATTAGTCGGGGGAGACTGAGAATTCGTTCAAGATATAACACAAGGTAATAGTCGAGACAGATACGTGAAGAAAATCAGTATATGCATATGTAGTTGAGTGAAATGGACGTGTGAGAAATTGTAGTAGTCGAGAGTTAGTCTCTGCTGATGTCGCTGGTTTCGTCGCTGACCGAAGGTATCATCTTGGTGTCGCTGTTGATGGACTCGTTAAGCTCGCCCGCTGTGTGGGCCTGTCCCTAGTGCCAACCTGGTCTGATCTGCCTTCGTGGGTGAAATCAGAGTTGGCTTTATAGTCAGTTAATGGCTCAAAAACGGCTGCTGTGAAAACCGCGCGGGCCTTTTCTGATTGGCCAGAAAATATTTTTATGACCCTGGTATTTTTTAACGGTATTTCATAAGTGGGTGCACAGAGTCAGGCGAAATTAAGATCTGTTTTTGTCATATTAGCTGTAGATGTCGAAGTTAACTGTTTGGGTATAAGAACATAATCAAAATGTTGATTTTCCACACTACTTCAACTAAAATGTTAGAAAGGAAGCCCCCATCAATGCTCGAAAATATAATAACAGTTGACTTGAGAAACCTATTTTCGTGAAAAAATGTTTTAACAAAAACATTCTATCAATTTCAATGGACAGGAGCACTGGCTGCTCGGTCAATGTAGGCCGAATGCTTCTTTAATTTTTACCATTAAGAATTTTTTCTTGTGACCTTTCCCAACCTAAAAATACAAACTCCTAAACTTCTTTTAGTCAAAATAAAAAATAATACATTTGTAAGTTATGCATTCTGTTACAGGTGAATAAAAAGAACCCTTAAAACATGAAATATTTAGATTCAACACTCAAACATCATAGCAGGTTTAGACTACGAGGAACCATACCGAGGAATTGTCTGCCGCAATAATAAGTCAAGGATATTTATAGCAAATCCTACTCCTGCTGTTAGATGTCTGTGGCTTATAATAGGAAAATTCCACAAAAGACATTGCACCTACTTAGAGAAATCGCTCTAGATTCAATGCAATAACGACCAGTCTTCCTGCTTTATTAGCTGCGCAGAATAATTTCTGTATCAAATACATGAATACAATATGCTGACTTTGTTGTGCTCACTATTTGAGCCCAACCAAAAGCAATGGCAACCAAAATTTTCACATATAAATGACTGATCGTCATCATTTGTAGAGATAAAAGGAGAAAAGGAATACATTTCAACAAGGAGATATTTTCATGTATTTTATATAACTAATAAATGGTTAACAAATATACAGCTGAAAAAGAAGGAAAGCTTTAAAAACTTATTTATTAGGATGTGTGTGTGTGTGTGTGTGTGTGTGTGTGTGTGTGTGTGTGTGTTCAGTCCAGTCCAGGGAAAAGATATTATCCCCAACGGGCAAAAATAGCGCTCGGACCTACCTCATTCTAGATGAAAAGAGGAAAGAGAGATAGGAAAACCATATCCCTTCTTTTATAGTTCTTAAACAGTGCCACCTAACAGACGTTTTGGCAGACCAAGTGGTGGTAATACCCACAATTTTCAAAGAAACAGATTTTCCATTGTCCAGTTCAAAGCGTGGAAATTTAGCTGTTGTTTTTCTTTCATCTTATTAAAACTGCAAGTTGTTTTGTGACTTGTTTAACTTAAATCTTCGTTGCTGTTGTCGCAAGTAATGAAAATATTTAACATGAAGAGAAGTATTCTTGGAATCAGATCATATGTGTTTCGATTTACAGGAATTTGTCAATTTTTAGTGAAATACAGAAAATCTGTTACAGATAAGCTAATCATTGGTAATTCAAAATATAATAAAATAATTATTATATTTTGAATATTATTATTATATCAATGTAAAAGAAATTTGCATATGTAATCAGATTTAGTTATTACTGCAAATTATAAAGTGCTATTTTATTTTAAATATTTTACTGTCAATCAATAATCAAATTCATTTCTTACAGTCTTCGCCGCTCTTGGTGAGAAGTAAGACTTTACATTTAAGAAATTAGTTTAAAATAAATATATTTTAATTACAGATTTTGTATCGTTCTGGCATTACCCAAATAAACCTAATAAGTTTTCCCAAATTAATGTTCTATTGTCCCTAGGCCGACATTAATCTCAAGCTCTGAAAT